CCTCATTTCAAGGGTTCAATTGCTACATGTGACTGTTGGATGATGCAGATTTAGAGAACATTTCCATCACTGCAGAAGTTCTATAGGACAGTGCAGTTAGAGACAAAAAGGACCCACATGGGAGATGGAATGTCTGTCTCATTGTGAATCCAAATTAGTCTTTGTTTTGCTTTTTTCTGGATGGAGACCAGAAAGCAGGAATTTAGGTCCCTGAGCTACCGAAGTCATCATTTATCTTCAGCAACGAGATTATCATAGAAGGACTCACTTGCTCATGGCTTCCACGCCTGCTTTGGCAGAAGCACTTGGTACTACAAAGCCTGAGCCACTCTCAGCATAGATGGTTGTAATAGCGAGAAATGCTGCTCCTGCAATTTTAAAAGGATACAGTTGATTAACAATACTGCTATATCAATTCACGTCAGGAAAACATGATTTACAAGAATAGGATATGATTCAAGAGGGTATAACAAAAACTGAAGCATTTTTAAAACTTTACCAGCCCCAAATTAATGAGAGAGTAATCTCAGAAAATTGTTATTTCTTGCTATTAATCTTGCTGTCATTTAGGGTGGCCCAGTCTGCACTTACTTGGAATTCTATACCTAGAAAGTCAATACGAAAGCCCAAATCTCAGAGGTATGCCCTATAACGCCCTGCATAATCAGCTGGATAGGATTCCCATTAACTAAATACCATTTAAACAAGAATAAATGAGAATTAAAACTAAATTAGCAGTGTCTTCTGCCTCCAGCCATGATGGACTTACCCTTCCACTGCAAATATCAAGAAAAGTAAGATACATGATACAATCATTTACAAGTACTGTACAGCAGGCAGGGAAGGATAGTGATCCCTGAGAGAAGGAAAATGAATGAAATAAGCCCTAAGATCCCCCCACATTTTTGCTAAGGGTACTACATAGACTGTGGCATACGCAGAAAATGGCATTCACGCTGAGTTAAAGAGACAGAGATCAGAGTTGGGGAGCTGAGGAAACTAAAGTGAGTAGGAGTTCCTCTAAGGAAAGCATGCAGGGATAGAGCTCCATCAAGCTGCATAGAGTCTCAATGAGTCTTTAGTCAAATACCCAGCTGTACATGTGTAGGGTGTGATTCCATGAAGCCAGCCAAAAAACAACTCAAGGGAACAGTAAGCTGTACAATTCCCAGAATTCACATCTGGCTGGGAGGTATGTGAGTTCTAAGCAACTTCATTGAACATCCAGGGCTTTCAGTAGAAGGCTCAGAAAAACCATGCCTTAGTGGGAGCATTAAATTAGCCCAAAAGTAAAGGCTACTCTAGACTTGCCCAAATAAAGCTTTAAAATGAGACTTAAAATGACTGAGCTGGTCCACAAATAATTTAGCTTCTTGCCAAAACAAAAAACAGACCTCAAAAGAAAATTTAGAATACAATA